AAAAATATACTATGATAAAAAAAAATCATATAAATTGCAAAAATCTAAGATACTTTGGTTGAAAGACTTGAAATGATTTGAAGCTCAAAGCAGACGACTTAGACTTGACTTGGACTTATGGGCCAGTGACTTGAGACTCAACTTGGACTTGTCTGTATTTGACTTGGGACTCGACTCAGACTTGAGGTCAAAGACTTGAGACTTACTTGAGACTTGCAAAACAACGACTTGGTCCCACCTCTGCTGATTGAACATGAAACAACATTATAGCATGGATCAGAAAACAGCGTAATACGGGCCCTTTAATACATCAGTCTAGAGAAAAGTCTAGAAACCTTTGTATAAGAAATCCGCAAGTCATCACTATAAACTCTGTTTAACAAACTTACACCAAATACATAATGCCTCTTTAATGTTAATGTTCTATTTACCCACACAGAGAGACAGAGATGAAGCTGCCGACTGAGTTGAAATCACTCTTTCTCCAAACTTTTAGCCATTAGTGAAGAGGCTATAGGTTAAATATCATCTGCGGCGTGAGTCATGAAAACATCGAGACAGAACACATTAGCAGTAAATCACCATAGGCCCATACACAAACGATTTACGGAGCTGCTGTTTGGACCTGACATAAAATAACAGAAAAATCCCGGAAAGCAAATTACACAGAGGGATGCAGTCGACAAATGCAAATGAAAACCAAAATACAGCTTCTGAAACCAGGGCAACGGGGAGAGAGTTATGGAAAAGATAACTGTGGCTGTGGCGAAGCTCGAACTGCGTAAGATAGGGTTTCACTGTGCACTGTAAAAAAAAAAAAAAAAAAAAAGGACACCTTTACTTGAGCTGAAATGGTTTGAATTCAGATTGAATACAGTTTACTTTTTCTATATTTTCATGACTATTTACATTGTAGATTCTCCATGAAAACTGTGAATGAATACATATAGAAGGAACAAAAAATACACTCAAAGTACTATAACTCCAAACTTTTGAGATTTTAGATTTTTAAAAATAGCCACACTAAAAAAACAAAACAAAATCTAGTCAAGTTAAGATGACTTCAATTAAAAAAGTTTTGTCATGATTTCAGTAAATTTCACTTGACAAGCAAAATTATCTGCCAGTGGAACAAGACTTTTTGTACTTAAAATAATAAAAACAACAACTTTTTGCACTGAAAATAAGAAACAAAATTGAATGTTGCTTGAATGAAGAAAAACACACTTATTCCATTAGCAGATAATTTTACTTGTCAAGTTGAATCCACTCAAATAAAGTAAAATGTTCTTAATTTAAGTCATTTTAACTTACCTAGATATTGTTTTTTTTTCCAGTGCACCCTTTGCTTTGATCACTGCTTTGCCCTGTTGGTATGAATGAATGAATGTTTATTTGGACAGTAATGCCTAGAACATGGATAGAAAACTTAAATACGTAGATATAATACAACAATTAAAGACTTCTTTTCCATAAACAACAAACAAAAATAAATGTCATGCAGATTTTATATGTGTCCTAAAAGACATTTTTTGACCCGGACATGGCACAGATGTGAAGTGAAAACCATTTCAGGACTTCATCAAGAAGCTCACTGGGAAGGCCAAGGGTTTGCAGAACTGTCAACAAAGCAAAGGGTGGATACTCTAAGGATTTGAGTAGAAAATATTTTTAAAGAATTAAGTTGTGTTATTTCACTTTTTTTCTTTGCTACATAATTCCATATACCTTACTTCTTATATTCAATATATCCTCTACATCAAACATGTCAAACTCAGGCCCGGGGGCCAAATTTGGCCCGCAATATAATTATATTTGGCCTGCGAGATCATATCAAATATGTATTAGAGCTGGCCCGCCAGGTACAGGTAGGCTATTCACATTATTTATTTAAAATGTTATTATTTTATATTATGTTCTGGATTCAATGTTTAAGCTATTATTAAACATTTATTTTAATAAGAAATGGTTTAACATATACATATCTCAAATGAGAGAAAACATGCAGATGTTACTGAAAATGTTTCAATAAATATTTAGTTTGGCCTATGAATTAGTCCCAGTTTTTAATTTTGGCCCTCTGTGAATTAGAGTTTGACACCCCTGCTCTACATGTCTAAACAGTGGGAAGTAATAAAACACAAAGAAAAAAAAGGGTGTGTCCAAACTTTTGGTAACACTTTAGATTAGGGGCCACATATTAATAGCTAGTTAATAGTAAAATACATAAGAAGTGCTTCATTACATCTTTGTTAGTATTTATAAAGTACTTTCAATGCATTTTTGTCTAAGGCCCTATTTTGTGAGTACTAACCCTTAACTATTTTCTTTCCATTAAAGTAGCAGAAACCACAATAGAGGTTTTTGTACACACAATAAAATCTTAATAAGCATTAATAAGTGTTTGATCAATCCCAAATAATAGCTAAGTAACAGCTAATTAGCAAATCAATTACCCCTTAGTTAGCTATTAATTTGTGGACCCTAAACTAAAGTGTTACCAAACATTTAATTGAAGTGTTTATATATTTTCAGACAAACTGTAATGTTACACAATATGGCATTAAACTAATCTATCTTGTATTTATTGAATTGATTTTTTTTTTTTTTTAATTGCTTAAAATATCTTGAATTCAATGTGGAAAAAAAACATGCCAAGGAATATATATGAAATGTATTACAATTGATCAGAAAATGTTCATTGAAACTTTTTGACTTTTTGAAACATTTTTTGCAGTGCAGTGTGTTAAAGCGTGTACGTTAAGGGGCATTCTTGTGGTGCTGAATGTGGTTTGCAAAGCAGAACTGAAGCTGTTCAGATTTATTGTGACAAATGGCAGGAAAGAAGAAGGGATGAAGAGAGGAGGATATTATGAAAACAGAGGAGAGGAGAGCAGGACGTTAGTGGTGAAACTTCAGAGATGGGTTAAGTGTGTGGTGACATGGCATGTGCTGAACAAAGCTAAAACATGTGCATCTGTTTTATATGTGTGGTTTGGATGAGCCATAGGAGGTCTGTTTATAAATACTGCAGGATTTTGGAAAATGCTTTGAGATAATTAACTTCTTCACTATATTGTACATGCTGGCTTCAAATATCAGCCAATACAGTAGTTATCGCTAAGCCGCTGTTTTAATACCTGCAGATGGGGAGAAAGAGTATCTGAAGTATCTGAAGCCGATTCACATGATTAGTGTCAAGTAGGAGTAGAAGTAAAACTACTCCGAGATGTACAATTTTATTAAAAAGTTAAAACAGTAAATGTACTTAAAGGAGCTGTAACCTACCTGACTTTTTACTGTTACCTTATACATTTTAAGCATCATAATTATTCACAACAATCAGTTTGTAAGTGCGTTTTACAACTCTCAGAGACCAGTGCAGGCAACAACTAGCATGTTAACGCACACTTCCTGATTATCTGACGATTTTGACCTCAAGAGCTTACTGAATATATCTGTGCTGTGGCAAGACGAATTTAGCTGACCGTATTTTTCGGACTATAAGGCGGCAGTAGCTCAGTTGATAGAGCGTCCGTTCACTCATCAGAAGGGTTGGCGTTTTTTTATGTTCCACTCTTGACAAAAAAAAAAAAAAATCATGGTCAGATCCACTGACCCACAGTTCAGCTGGTGAGATTCCTGCTCCCACAGATGAATGCTGTCGTTGTGTCCTTGGGCAAGACACTTAATCCACTTTGCCCCCAGTGTCTGCGTACACTGGTGTGTGAATGTATGCGTGAATGGGTGAGTGATTCCTTGTTGGAAAGTGCTTTGAGTGAATTGAAGGTGGAAAAACGCTATAGAAAAATGTAACAATTTACCATTTTAAATCCTTTAATTTTCTCAAAATTCGACAGTGCACATTATGTGTTAATTCTGGTTATGCTTACTGACCTCGAACCGATTTTATATGGTAAAAGGGGCTCAAAAATCTGTCAAATGTTTTAGTATGACTATGGTAAGTTAAGAAGCCGCACCGCTTGATTGTCGTGTCCTTTAGTCCGACAGAAGCTGACCGCATCAGCCACAAGTTGATGTAAATGAGCCATGTGGTTTGTTTTGTTTGGCAAGTTTTGTTTCTGTAAAACTTAAACAAATGTGCACAAAGCTGCATTAAACACATTATTAGTCAGTGTATATTTCAGTCCTCCTCATAGGAAATAAAAAAACTAACTTATATTATCCACCCACATTCACATTCATAATACACATTCACCAAGGCAGGGAGCCAACGCTGGGCGAATTATAGCACTATCTGCCAATGGATCATGGATGTCTGGGCTTAAGTATCAGTCTCAAGTTTTGTCCGTTTGTTATAATCTGGTGCACTTTATGCATGAAAATAGATGAGAGCAAACATTATTGATACTGCACCTTATAATCTGGTGTGCCTTATAGTCTGAAAAATACTGTAAATACATGTCATGTACTAGTCCTTTAAGTATCTGTGTGCTACTACTACCCCCAAATAGAGGTTTCACTGAGTTCACTGAATATTTTGTCACCATTTGGGTCGTGGTAAAATGTTTTATTAAAAGGCAATAGTTGACCACATTGTTTGGAGTTCATCTCATCTTACTCGCAAAATATTTTCCAAGTCGTGGGGCCTTATATCGTTCCCTACCACATTTGACAGATTTGGGAATTTTGTGTATACATTTCCATTGTGTTTTGTTTGGAATTGAAATTTGTAATATGTTATGTGTTGGTTTAGCTTTGATTAAGCGGTTGAACCCAAATAAACATGTGTTTTTATGAATGCAGTACAATATTGTTTTTACTTAGACAAATGACATTGACTAATCTTACATAAACAAAGCAAGATCATATGTCAGAGTTACAACCACTGGTCTTCTTGATTTAAAATAAATAAACGTCTATTATTCTGACTGTACTGCGGCTTTCTAATGCCATATTTGTAAATGTTGCCAGTGAAAACCAAAGTTCATTCATTCTTCTGTATCACATTTAACCCTATTGTTTTTGTTTGTTTCCAGAAAGCACCACTGTCCCAGACACAGCCACCCCCACCCTGCCCAAAATGGAGCAGACCACCCCAGCCATGAGACCAGGTATGTCGCCGTTATTCAAACTATCACTTTGTCTCTGTCCCTTCTCTGGGAAAATATAAATACATTTCTAGAATGGGTGAAAAAGACTCAGAATGTTTTAAATTTGAAGTTGAACATTGCCTAAGTTGGATTTAATTTAATGGTTATGGGAGCCAAACTGTCAAAACTGTTTCATGAAATGCTGACTTCAGTGTAATTAAGATTGAAAAACTTGCCTCACTTACATTCACTTACCATAAAATTATACTGCATTAATACAATTTTACAGTGTGACAGGAATCTTAAAACTTTGGGTTATTTTTTTCCACTTACTTGCACCACTCACTCAGATATGATTGAGTTTTCCTAATTTAGTCTATGCTTTATTATCATTCATTTTTTGTTGTATTTATTATTCCTTTGTCATTACATTATCTTGAAAGTTTGTCTAGATAGTTACTCTTTCTTAGTTTCTTTAAATATAACGCTCTCATATTAAGGGCATAAATCTACAATATTACAAAGCACACAACTTAATATTATGCTGTTATAATGTTGTTTCTTCATCACAAACATATCTGGAGTTCTGTTTTGTTTCATATGTTTTTGTTTCAAACGTGTTCCACCTTGTGATGTCATGTGCTAATACTGGAATTGCTCCACTGTGTTTCGCAACTCCATAAACCTCTAGAATCATTTGGATAATTGCAGCCTTCGAATCTCCAATCACTACTGAACAAAAGGTAAAAAATTGCTGTTCACTTGAAAAGTACAGCTTCATGACATCACAACGTGGAACAGAGCAGAGCACTCAAACATGTGTGAAAAAAAAACAAAAAACAACCCAGCTCCAGGGATGTTTTTGATTAGTACCAACATTCGAGCATGGCTAAAAGCTCATAAGAGTCAATTTTGTGTAATCTAGCACTCTACAATTTTTGGCAACTCTACCCACTTCTGCCACCAAGGACATAAATCGGCAGTATTAGAAAGTACCCAATTTAAGATTAATATTCTGAATTCAAGTCATTTTAGCTCTCCCTCCCTCCCCTCGACTCCACTCCCTCCACTCTGCACATGAACACTTCTCTGAGGTCAGGCCGATGATGTCATGTGGGGTTTTCTTGGCTTTGAGCTCAGTTTGAATCCTCGGTCCCACAGGAAGAAGAAGAGTGAAAATAAGCTCCCGATGCCAGAGGACCAGTTCACCTTCACACACACACATAATTATACTCATACTTTAACACACACACATACAAGTACACTGAAAATCTTATCCACCACCACTACTCCTACTACTACTACTGCAACTGTCACAAAGGCTAGAAGTACTATTGTGATTGTAAATAGTAAAAAGCAAAAGCAATATAGATTTATAACAGTAATTTGGTGCTTTTTTTTTTACTGTATAGAGACAATCTGTGAGCTATGAGAATGTACGGTAGCTTTGTAGGGACATGTAATAACTGTGTATCAGGCCTGAACATTTTTTCATCATATGCATGTTCACCACCATTGTTTTGGTCACTCCAGGCACCCACAGAAACAAAAAAGACTTTTACATATAGCACAGATCTTCATTTTTAACAAACTTAAAGGGACAATTTGGAATTTTGGACATATTTCCTAGTGAACAAGAGTGTTGGAGACACGTGGAGACACTTTAAAAAAAAAAAATCCATCCAGTCTTTGTATTTGCAGAGGTCGCTGGTGCTAGGCTAGCGCATGTCAATAGCCATAGTTAGCCTGCCACTAAAAACAGTCTTACTCACTCCACAAAACACCCGAAGCAAATCTATTATTACGCCAGACTGTCAATGTGAATGTCTGTGTTGATAGAATAATGTTTGAAATAAAACTAACCTTGCATCGCATGACTCGTCACATGTTGAGGGACTATTTTCTCATATATCAGTCCGCCGCTGCCAATCTTTCTATCAGGAAGTACAACTCGCTGCTGCTCAGACATAAATCCTTCAAATGCAAGGTTGGTTTTACCTAAAATAATTCTATCAACACAGACATTTACATCGACAGTCTGGCGTAATAATAGATTTGTGTCGGGTGCTTTGTGGAGTGGGTTTTTAGTGGCAGGCTAACTATGGCCATTGACATGCACTAGCCTAGCACTAGCGACCTCTGCAAATACAAGGACTGGAAGGAATATTTAAAAATTTCTCCAACACTCTGGCTCACTAGGAAATGAGGCCCTATGTCCAAAGTTCCGAACTGTCCCTTTAACAGCGCCAATCTCTCTACTTAGATCCCAATTCCTCTGTCAAGACAATTTGTTCTACCCCTGTTTTATTTGTTTCTTTGTAAATAGTTAAGTCCATAAAGTTTTGACAAATCCTTTCCAAATCAACATTCAGTTTGAAGTTCCTCCAGCCTAATTTCTTGTATCATGCTCTCAAAGCGTTGGTGGTCTTTTTATAAGGCGTTTGAATCCAGCCCATGGGTCCATCTCTCTATGGATAAGACGAGTCAAATGCCCGGGTTTTTAGTTCAGCCAAATGTTCAATTGGATTAGAATTCACTAGGCGTTCTGATACACTTTGGAAAGGAAATTTTTCTGCTTAAAGATGCATTTGGGACATTTAGGTCATGCTTTTACTAATTATTATGGCTGTACTCATGAAGAGATACTGCTACGTAAATGTGTGTGCTTCTCAAACTATGTTCATATATATATACAGTATATGGTATGGAATCTGAATGTTTTATGAATTTAAAAGTACTAAAGCCAAGATGTCCAACTATTAGAAATGAGTATTATGCCCCAAACACGAGTAATTCAATTTTATTTTATATTACATTGGCATAAACAGACAGTTGGCTATAGGAACCAACTATTAAAACAGTAAGGTTTTTTTACTTAAAGGTACACTATGTAATTTTTCTGGTGGAAGGTCCATCACCTGCTTGTCTCTATGGAGAACACATTACTTTAAAGCACATATTTTGCTATTCTGATCTGTTGTTTCCTGATCAAAAACATACCTGAAATTGTGTTTTGTTTCATTCACAATGTTTAACACATCTCTGCATATTTAGACTGAGTCTCTTAAACAGAAAACACTCTGTTCCACCTTGTGATGTCATTTGGTAACACAGGAAGTGCTCCACTGTGTTTTTAAACTCCATACACCTTCACTAGATTCATTTGGATAATTTCAGGCCTGGAAAGTCCAGTCTCTCAACAGGAAGCTGGTAAAATCTAATGCTTCATGACATCACAAGGTGGACAGAGCATTTCAAACTTTGGAGATGTAGACAAATTAATAAATCAGGTTTATTCAAATGTGTGAATGAAACAAACCTGCAATATTGTGGAATATAGAACCTTTAAGCTGGAATTTTCCACAGAATGGTATTAAACGTATATATATCCCAGAGATTTGTGGAGAGCTGAGCCAGCTCACAATAAGAAGACATGGTATTTTAAAGCAATAAAATCACCTTTCATGAAACTAATGCAGGTTTAAAGCCATACTGTGCTTACAGGGTCAAAACACTCACACCTCTTATACTAACCCCATCTCTCTCTCTCTCCTCACAGCCACCACGCCCTCCTTATCGGCTGTGTGTGATTTTGAGTCCAGTCTGTGCGGGTGGTCAGCAGATCCACAGTCTGGGGTCAGCTGGTCTCTGCACACGGCCAACAGTGGCACCTCAACGGGACACGGCACCCACAGCACCCATGGGAGCAGGCTCGACCTCACCCAGGCCTCTGACAGTGAGTTACACACATTTGCACAGTCTATTATATTAAATCAACTTTTTTGACCTTTCTACCTGTGTTATAATCTATATATGTTAGCAATTAATACCCCACAGAAGCTTATTTAAGCCCCTACATGCTGTTTCATACAAGATAAACCTTTATGTTTAGGACAATTCAGGAGATTTCTCAGTATAAATACATACATAAAAACACAAACTTTGATTCTTTTAATGAATCAGTTGTTTTTGGGTCTGTACATGAGCAAATATTGTTTTTAAAAATGCTATTACTTAATCTTTATTCATATAGTAAACAGTGTGTGGTTGTAGTTGTAGTTTTCAGAAGCCTTCTCTCCATTCAAACTTATATAAGAGTTTGTTGTTGACCTGGTTTGGTGCATTTTGAACTAATTAGCAGAGAATAGGTAGTTTCCATGGCTGTCGGCGGTCTCCAGCTGAGCCAGTAAAATGATGCAAACATATCAGACTGTTTTTCTGTGTTTAAGGGAGGTGTTGGGTCACTTGGTTTGTTCTTTTCCTTCACAAAAGATGCTTCATTTTGATAATGTGAGCTACTTTATCAATCAATCAGTATCACTGTATTTGCCTCCAAGGGGCAATTAAATGAGGATCAACTTTGTGCACATTAAAGCTGCTAATGAAATTGGTCAGTTTAATGATTTTAGTAGAAGTCCTCGGGTTGTTCTTTCATTTTCACAAATCTTAGCCTTTTCATAACAAATAGAAATCTTAAAATACCCACTTTGTGCATGTGAAATCTTATCTAAATGCTTTTAATTTATTTTTTCACTCCAACAACTAATGAGGCATGAGTTATCTTGAGGAACAGTCATGAAACCAGGAAAGTACTTGCACAACTTTACTGAACAGTTGACACTTTTAAAATATTCTACATCATCTTTTTCCATTTAATACATTTTTGTTGATCCAAATGATTTAGTTTTTATAATGAGCTATTTTAAATATAAAGGTTCATTTCACACAAATTATTAAAACTGAAAATGGTGACATAATATAGGGTTAACATTTCTTTTTTTTTTTCTCCTCTCCTGTGTTTTAGATCACTTCTTCCTCTGTTACTGACCCCTGCCCTGTCCTCTTCACCTGTACTTGGCTTTTTCACATCTGTCTATCTTTTATAAGCCAGGAAAGGCTGTTTTATACATTAGAAAGTCCCTCCATCACTACTTCTCTCCCTCTTTCACCCTGTTTCTTTTTGTCACTCTCTATGGTCCTCCACACTCTCCTTGCTCTCTCTTTCTTTTTCTTCCCTTTCTGTCCCTCTCTCACCCTTTCTCTCTTTCTATCTCCTTCATTGTCATCCTTTTTTCACTCATTCCCTGTCTCTCTCTCCCTCTCCCTCCCTCTCCGCTCTCTCTCTCTTATATATAAACTCCTCTTCTCCACTGGCCCTCACTGGCCCGGGGCAGTCTGATAAGTGCATGATGGTTTTGACAGTAGTGCTGGCTTAGCTCTATAGCTCCCCCAGAGGCCTGGACACACACATACAGAGCTGGAGGTGCGTTTGATAACCGCAGGTGTATGTTTGTGTGGATGTGAGGAGGGAGGGAGGATGCGCTTGGTTTTATGACCTTGACGTCTGTGGAAATCCTCCAGGTTATGGCTGACTGCACTGAGAATGGACAGCTCAGCAGAGTAAGGCAGAAATGGAGACTTATGTGAAGAGTTCCAAGATTATTCTGGACTTTTCTTTAGAATAATTATTTATCATTTACATTAATAATCAAAATAATAAATAAGATATACTTCCGTTTTTCAGTTTGTGTCTAAATATTTAACTTATAAATACATGACTTATCTCCATGGTGATGTTATTCCTTTCCCTCCAATGTTCAACAGTATGGTTTATCTATCTGGCATTTATTTATGTCTATTGCTAAAAATACCTTACACAACTTGCATTCTTATAGCAGTGTTTCCCAGACCTTTTTTCTGGGGACCCATAATTTAAAAGTCACAAACCTTTGCGACCCAAGTCAATAGACCTTATTCGTAAATCACAAAATAAACGTGGATTTGATCATTATTGAACATTAATGAGGATATTTTATTGAGTGATCATGTCTCTCTGAACAATTAGTATTGTTCAAGTTTTAAACAATGACAAACAGTCATTGAACCAGCAATAAAAGGTGTCCATAAGTTGCCTATTTGGATCTTAAATGTAACCCAGTTCTATTTCTTTTCAACATTCAATTGAACCAGCAATACGGTAACAAAATAGTCAATAAAATACTTACATAAAAATTAGAAATGATACAAAACATGTCTTAAGATTTTTCCATTTCTAATGAGATAGGTGGGGCTGTCTGTGTTTTTGTAATGCATTCCAGGAGAAGAGCGCAGTGGCAGATCAGGCGTATAGGCAGAACTGTATATTGCAGACCTACATGCAGATAGTGACAAGGCGATCCCAAAAAAATCTCTTGCGACCCACCTGAGGGTCACGACCTAGTCTTTGGGAAACAATGTCTTACAGTGAGCAGGGTCGCCCCTCCCCATAATTTGACCTAGTAGGGTCAAGAACTTAACTATGCACACACTGGAACATTTCAGGCCAAGCAATCTCACCTCCATCAGGAAAGTTACCTTATATACAGTATGTCAATGAGGATTCCTGGGTTTCAGCTTCCTGTTATATGCAAAATTTTGAAGACTTTTTCTCATTCAGAAGATATACTTTGATTTAAATTGTTAATCGCTATGAATTTCTCATCATTCTGAATCATTGTGACGTGACGCTGAAGAACTGGTCTAATCTTTTCCATTTTGATTTTGACTTAGTTTTTCAAATTTTTATGTCTGTACTTTCAAATAACCCCATTTTGAGCATCACTTAATGGCTTGTCCTTCAAACTACATTAACTTCAAATTATAAATCAAATAATATTATGTCTGTACAGTTACTCCAGTTACTCTTTAATTTACTTTTACTTCAGTAGTAGTTTTCTTCAAATACTTTTTACCCTTACTTGAATGATTTCTTGGACCACTACTTTGTACTTCCACTTGAGTAATATTATTTTGAAGTAACATTACTCTGACTAGTACACGTTTTGGCTGCTCTACCCCTCTGTGCTCCTGGCCTCCTGGTATAGAATGTACAGTATGTGTGAGTATAGAATAGTGCCTGTATGCTCGCTCTTGTAGTGTATGTGTGCGCAGTGTAATTGAGTTAGCGGCGCTCTAGTCTCCTCCGTCAGACAGAACACGACATTAAGTCTTGTTCTACACAACATTAGCAGCAGCCGCCTGTCTCTGAGCTGTCTGCTGTATGCAAATCAGGAGCGCTCTGTCATAGAGAGAGGCGGTTTAGGGTGTAAAAGAGAAATATAAAAGAGAAGGAGGGAGGGAAGGGAGAAGGAAGATCTATAGACATGTAGCATACTGTAAAATATGCTTGGTTTGTAAGAAAGAGCGGAGGAGGATTAGCAAGCTACCTTATGTACTACTACCAAAATACTACTATTCAAATATATACCATAATTTCCAGACTATAAGCCACTACTTTTTTACACTTTGAACCCTGAGGCTTATACAACAATACAGCTATTATATGGACAGATTCTTTGTTTGGCACATTGTCCTTTCAAATATACAGTCTATGGTTTGGCAACTCATAGGATGCGCGTGCAGCCTGAGTGCAGAAAGTGCCGCCATCTATGCGTAACATGATCAGTTATGACGCTAAATGAACATTAGTGAGTGGATACGTCTTACCCATATGTGTTAAATATAGGTGAGTGCATAAATGACAAGAAGAAACGTCTCAAACTTCAGTATCCGGACGTCCGCTCATACCTGATCGATACAACTAGCCCCGCCCACGGGAGAGCCTTAAATCTGCTTAAATCCTACAAGACACTGACATGATACCAGACACTGACATCCCAGATAGGACAAGATGCTAGTTTGATAGTTTTTTGAACAGCTATTTTGCAGTTCATACACACACCCTCCTCATGTAAAATACACAAAGAAATGCAGATGATGCAGCTTTTAATTTAAAAGCAGCTGATGTGGCTGTTGAAGAAGGAAATAGAGCTGCTGCACGTGAGCTCGGCAGCAATGAGTCGATGCTGAAACTTTGGCGAAGGCAGCGTGACGAACTGACTCAATGCAAAAAGACGACAAAAGCTTTCAGAGCCAATAAAAGCAGATGGCCCGAACTTGAAAACTTTCTTGAAGACGTGGACATCTGCAGCTTCTAGACAGGTGTAGCCTATATATGTACACTTTTTTTTCTTTTACAGTTTAGTTAGTTAGTTCATTTTACTTTGTTCACACTTGTTTCATGATGATTTTTTAAATTTCCTAGGATTGTTACATCATAGGTAAATGTCCGAAATTTTCCTGTGTTGATTTTAAGTATATAAATCAAATTATACTTAAACTAGACTGCTTTTAAATTGTGTTCATTACAGCTACATTTTTGTCGGAAAACGTGGCATATTTGTTCTCAGTGGTAAAATTTTACATGTGCAAAAATTTAAATGATCACATCTTAAACAAAACAAATTAGCTGTAATAATGAACACTGTTTAAACGACATGCCCTTATCTGGTAGCACACTTTTGTCAGGTTTTTGTTTTATTTATGCATTTACCTACCTACTTACCTTTATTTAACCAGGTGAAAATGAATAATGGATTTGGGTTTGGGGAGGTAGTGTTTTCAGACTTTGTAGAAACACGAGGCCTGAATTACAGCAGCTTGTTAAATGCAGTTGGAGAAAGTTGAAGTGTTGTCCTGCCTCTCTTTGTTTCATCTCTGTGAACGCTCAAAGAGAAAGAATTAATTAACACGTCTCTATGGGAGGGAAAGGCGCTATGGAGAACGGGTTTAGAGGAAGGCATAGGGACACACCAGTTCACTTCAAGATATTTTTGTTTACGTCAGAGTACATGCAGTCTTTCAATATGGTTGCAAATACAGCTGGTATAAAATAATAAGAAACTTTCATTGTAATCGCCCAAACAAGGCTGTAAAGTGTTTTTCTGTTCACGTTATGGTTTAATCAAGACATTTACCAGAAGATTTGAGCACATTTCTGATGGATTACTTAAATATGATCTCATTATTGTTATCTGCCATGTTAAAGGGGCACTGTGTAACGTTTCTGGTGGAAGATCTGTCACCTGCTTGTCTCCATTCTTTCCTACAATGTTCTACAGTATGGCATTAATTTTGATTCGAAACGATACATAGCTGCCAATACAATATTATCACAATATGGTTATACATGTGATAACTGATATATTTCATATGATATATTGCTGTTTTTTAAGAACCAAATACACATGTAGTTTCCTTCCACTAAATAAGCACACTGGAAAAAAACTGCTTCTTAGTAAAATATATTAAATCAACTTTGGTAGTTTTTACACTGGAATAATATAATTCTGTGAGAGCTACAACAATAGCAATTGACAAAGTGTACTTATTTTACTCATGTACTCAAAGTATTGTGTTTAATGAGTAAATTCTGCATTTGAAAGGTTTTAGAGTCACTACTCAAACACAGAAATACTAAAGTTCTTATAAGGAATCCCTTATAAAAAATTAAAAAAAAAAACATCATTGCAAATGCAGTTGGATCCACTGACCCACACGCTGGTAGCAGGATTCTAGCTCCCACAGATGAATGCTGTTGTTGTGTCCTTGAGCAAGACACTTAATCCACCTCGCCCCCAGTGTTTGTGTCTGCCTTGGAGGTGGAAAAGTACTACATAAAAATGACCATTTATTATACTTATTATATTTATTATCAGTAAATACTGGACATATAATATTTACTTAACTATTTCATTACATCAGTGCAGTTAATTATGACAATATTTTATATTTTACTTAATTTATTGACATAAATATGACTTAATTTAAAAAGAGAGTAACAGTTACTCAGTAAATTCACGACTGTTAATCGTGGGGTAAGTACATTTACTTAATACTGACAAGTAAATTGTACCTGATATTACAGCAGTAAAATTTACCTAAAAAGAGCTAGTGCAAATTGTTTTGAGGAGTAGTAAATCTTACAAGTTTTTTTCAGTGCAACAAAATTGTAGTGCGGTCACACACAAAAAGTTAAAAGGCAAAATGTCAGTATAGCAGGTCATAGTAACAATAATTGATCACCAAATTTAGTCACCACAATATATTGATATTTCAATATTTTTGCACACCCTTAGTTTCAAATAATGGCTTTACTCTCTTGACTCGTTACAAACACCATTTTGAGGTCTTTTCACCATTCTTACTTACTTTTCACCATTTACCATTCTTACTTATTTATTTATTGCAGTAGTCCTTTATTTTCACCTCTCTCAAACCCGTGATGACTTGGCTATGATGTTGCCGCTGACTCTGTAGCTATAGCACTTTCCAAATGATTAGCCCTGTTCAACTGGTTCGCCTGTAGCCTAGCATGTGCGTGTGTGGGGTTTTGCCTTTGTCTCCTCTATCATTAGCGGTTGATGATGAAATAGCATGCTCATTTGTGGTCCTAGCCTCATACCACACAATAATAGCTGCGATGCCTTAAAGCCCTGAGCAACGAACACCGCCGCATTACTCCATCACTTCCTCTGTTTCACGGGCTCTGGCAAATCGCATCAGTCATTAAAATGGAATCCAATAAATGAGTAAAATGCAAATAGCGTAGCGGAAATATATGGGGCTGTCACAGTTATGGGCTGCGTTCAGGAGATCTAAAGCCCAGTGTGTTGCTAAATGTTTGCCAGTGCTGGAGCTGCAGAAATGAATGAGTGGTTTTGTATGCGCAGGATTTTTTATCTTATACGATGGCTGAATGCAACTGGTTTTGTGGAAGTTATTTTTAAAATTACATTCACTAAAATATAGAAGACTAGTGCTTACTCTATTTATTGTTTATAGTGAACAAAACTGAGCCGTTATATGACATGGTGCTAAAGATGCTATGTCATTCTCCAAGGACAATAGCAGTCTATATTTACAATGTTACAGAAATACAGATACTATATTCTGTTTTATTTTTAAGTGAGACAAAAGCTTTACACTTAATAAATGACTTTTCAACAGTGAATCTTCATCAGGTCCATTGATTGAAACGTTGTCATTTATTAAATGCAGTTTGGGAGTAAGTGTGCAGCCTTTGTCTCAATTTCTATGTTCACTGTTGTAGCCTAGCACCAGTGATGTGTGTATACCTGTACCTTTTTTTAGTTTTATTACCTCCGCCAAGGAGGTTATGTTTTTGCCGGCGTTTGTCTGTTTGTTTGTTTGTTTGTTTGTTTGTCTGTTAGCAACATAACTCAAAAAGTTATGGACTGATTTTGATGAAATTTTCAGGATTTGTTGGAAATGTGAAAAGGAAGAACAGATTTCATTTTGGGGGTGATCCGGAAGAAATCCTGGATTCTGGATCACTTTGAAATTTTAGTTAACATTGTGGTAAATGGGGCCAAAAATTTTGTTTCTCAATATCTGGGTTAATTATTGACCAAACCCCATGAAATTTGACTCAGGGATGGACAATGGGATCCTCTTTCATATTCCAAAGGCTGATCCGGATCTGATCCAGAAGACTGATTTTATCGCAATTTATATAAAAAATGGGGGTAGTCCTTGGCGGAGGTCTGCGCTCTCTGAGTGCTTTTCTAGTTTTATTTATACCAATTTCTTACTCAAGCAGCTGTAGAATTCTGTACAGGGGGCACCAAGTTGTGATCATCGTATTAATGTGCATTATCTATCTGAAGCCCATCAATATACACATAAAAGTCAAAAGCTTGGACTCACCCTCTCATTCAGTGTTTTTTTAATACAGAAAACATCAAATATATGAAGTAAGTATGTATGGAATATTTTTATATTTTATCAATCATATAAACTTTATTTATAGAGCACTTTTCATACAAAAAATGCAACACAAAGCGCTTTTACAACCAAATCCTCAAATGCTGCTTTGCTTTTAGTTTTTATTTAACGTTTTTATGATTAAATAACTCCATAAATCTTGCTTCATATATTTGATGTCTTCTCTATCTAAAAGAAACAAAAAATTGAATGAGAGTGTGTGTCCAAACTTTTGATTGGTTGCAAATGCTTAAACAGCACCATCAAAACTTTGGACACACTGTCTCAAATGACAAAAACATGAGAGAATGAGTCCAAATATTTGACTGGTAGTGTAACTGTAACAAAGCATGGACAAATCACCTTTGTTATTAGCTGAATTTATTATGCGATATGGCAGTTTTGTTCTAGTAGACGCCTTTTATTTTCAGGTCTTAAATGACGTGAAAAACTAGTTTGAGGTTTGCAGTGGTCCAGAGTTATTTCTCGCTTAGTTTATGCATATCTGGCAATCCTAATTATTCACCTCATTGAATTTATTAGCGCTTTTGACAACATAGAGATGCACTTCCGGATTCTCGTATAATAAAACAGCACACAGCAGTCTCATTTTGACCTGAGCTGCTTATACAAAACAAAATTGGACATAGCCACTTGAACTTCCTGTAAATCCTCCTATCCAATCCTATAAAATGAATGAATCTTCTTTCAGTCTTATACTAACCCAGTCTTTCTCCTCTCTACAGACCTATCAGGGAACTACCTCCATGTGGACGCGGGACCCCACACTCAGAGGAAGCGTGCCCGCCTGCTGAGCCCTGAGGTGGCGCCAGAGTCAGGAACGCTCTGCCTCCTCTTCCACTACCAGCTCCAGGGAGAGGCCCAGGGGAGCCTCAGGGTGCTGCTGCGCGACTCGGACCAGGACGAGACCCTGCTGTGGTCCCTCCGCGGAGACCAGGGGGCGCTGTGGAGGGAGGGACGCACGGTGCTGCCTCAAAGCCCCAAAGAGTATCAGGTACAGGAGGGTTTTTGATATACTATAGAAAGACAATTTGAGTGAGATTTGAAAACAAAATGAAATGTTAATACGTAACATATAATTTTTTGGGGTATGTACAAACGTTATAGACATAGAGGCCAATATTTGTGATTGTGATATTTCTCTTTTTAAAAACATATAATTGAAAAAGAAATACTGGTCCTGCCCATATATAAAATGAACATATTACTGTCCACTGTACCCCACCTCACACGCACAGTTGTAATACAGTTGAATGTTTTCAGCCTTTTTCCTCATAGAGTGCACTTTGTCTTTTCTAGGTTGTTTTTGAGGGATTCTTTGAGCATCCAACAAGAGGGCACATCCGGATAGACAACATTCACATGAGCAGCAGCTTCGACCTGGAGCAGTGCACACGTGAGTTCAACACTAACATACATTATACCATTTTAAACAGTTGTGATGTCTATAGTCATAAAATGTGTATTTGAAATTTCCTTGAGGTGGAATAAAGTTTGATCAGTATATCAAAATACAACGATTAAATACTGTATTTTCCGGACTATAAGTTGCTCCAGAGTATAAATCGCACCAGCCAAAAAAAATGCGTAATGAAGAAGAAGCAAATTATAAGTCGCACTTTTTGGGTGAAATTTATTTTATCAAATCAGAGACCAGGAACAGATATTTCATCCTGAAAGGCAAGTTATAGTAATAACAACAGAACAGAGAACAACAGGCTGTTAACGTCACATATGAACAGTTATTCAGATAAATATAGCATAAACAACAGAACAAGTTTACCAAACTCTCCATCTCACTCCAAATCACTAAATCCACTGAATTCTTCACTCTGCGACCTCTGGAGGTAAACGGAGCACCACTTTCTCTTCTGTGTAGCTGTTGTCAGACTCAGCCTCAGTTCCAGTTAGAGCCTTTCTGAATCCCGACAGTTTGGTTTGGATTGTTTTTAGTTTTAAGTTTGTTTAAATTTAAAATTTTCAGAGGTACAGAAGTAATGGTGCGACTGACTGACATGATACCAGACTGGACAGCGGCTCTTTCTGCAGGAGACATGCACAGTAGAGTGAAGTGACAGTGGTACAGGAGTAATAGTAGTAGCAGATACTGACACACAAGCCTAGAGCGCCTCTGTCGGCTGTCAGTGTGAAAATTTTAATTATAAGTCACACTGGAGTATAAGTCGCAGGACCACACAAACCATGAAAAAAGTGTGACTTATAGTCCGAAAAATACAGTACTAAACATGAGACAGACTTTAATGTTATATAGGTGCTTATAGTAAATATATTGTAGAGTGATAAAATACACTAATGGTAAATGGTCACATTTTTCTATAGCGCTTTTCCACCTTCAAGGCACTCAAAGCGCTTTACAACAAGGAACCACTCACCCATCCACATTGACACACCAGTGTACACAGACACTGTGGGCAAGGTGGGTTAAGTGTCTTGCCCAAGGACAACAGCAGCATTCATCTGTAGGAGCTGGAATCACACCAGCCAACCTGTGGGTCAGTGGATCTGACCACTCAACCTGTGATGTTTATGTTGAGAGCTGGATTCAAACCGCCAACCTTTAGATCAGTGGGCAAATGCTCTACCAACTGAGCTACTGCCGCCCCAGTGATATGACTGAGATTTTGAAAACAATAAGCTTTATTACTTGTATTAACGCCAAATAGCAACAGAATATTTTAGATTTTTTTGTAAAGTAATTAAACTCAAAACTAGAAAAACAGAAAACAAAACAGTGATATTACCAACAGACCTGTCAAGCTAATGTAAACAGACATGTCCGTTCCCATGGTGTTTAAGCGATCCAGCTGTTGTAAGCCTTCTGCATATCACTGTGCTTCTACACATATGCACTATAGCATTTAACCCCTTTACTGCCTAAATTTATGGTTTGTTTTAGTGGGAGAGGGGGAGAGGGGGAGAGGGCTCATCTTTGCTCCTCTTCATTCCCACAGACACGGAAACAAGAAATAAATAAAAAAGAAAGTAGGCCACACACGACCGCCAGGCACGGATCCTCATCTATCTTTGATTATCAGTATTTTACACAGTTATGAAGACGAGGCATTTGGTATTCTCTGTGGTGTACTGTCTGCTGGATCAAGCACAGATTTGAAAACATTTGTTAATAGGACTTTTATATTGTCAGTGAATATTAAAATGGCATTATTGAGGAAAAAACAAATTCTGTAAGCAAACTTTTAAGTATAGTTAAAGGGCCCATATTATGCTATTTTCTGCTAACAGTTATAATGTTGTTTCCTCATCAGAAACTTACCTGGGGTTGTGTTTTGTTTTATTCACACATGTTAACACACAAACCCTGCATATTTAAACTGAGTTCTTTTCTCAAACAGAAAACACTCTTTTCTACCTTGTGACGTAATGTGGTAATACAGGAAGTGCTCCATACACTTTCACTAGAAGCAGTTGGATAATTTCAGTGCTGGAATTGCCAATCTCTAACAAAAGGTAGCTGTTAACGTGAATACTACCGCTTCATGACATCACAAGGTGGAACAGACACAACTCCAGATATGTTTTTGAGGAGGTAACAACATTCTAACATGACTTAAAGTTCATAAGAGTCAATTTTCTGTGATATAGGACCCTTAGGTTAATTCAAATCACATGCAAAAAGCTAAGATGCGCTTTAGACGTTTTAATAGACTAAAGAATGCATCAAATTAGCAATGGCTTTCAAGAGTTTAATCATTTACCTCAGAAGAGAAACTGGCAGTAGCAGAGATTCACTGAAAAAGAAGTTGATTAGATAGATGTCAGGTCTCCTCTTTGGACAATGGCAGAATTAAGTGAACAGTGAATCTTAATCAGCCTGATTGTGATGCTGTTTGACTCTTCCACCAAACGTATAATCTCTCATGAACTTTTCATTTGGACAAATAAGTAGGACACTGCATGGAAATCACCACAGCTTCAAAATGCATTGTGTCTGAAGTGGATTAGAAAAGGAACTTTGACACTACAACTTGGAGTTAGGATCTTTACAACAGGGTTATAAAGAGAGCACATTGACGTACTATTAGAATGTTATTGGATTCATTTCACAAGTTCAGTTCAGTTCATTTGTTTCATCAGGTTCAGGTATACCACATTTTTCGGACTATAAGGCACACTGGATTATAAAGTGCAATATCAATAATGTTGAATTCTCTCATCTCTTGTCATATATAAGGCGCTATATAAAGTGCACCGGATTATAAGGCACATTAAGCGAAACAAACGTACGACACTTGAGACTGATCCCTTAGTGGATCATTTAAGTTTGTTTTTTTATTTCCTACGAGGAGGACTCAAATATACATTGAGTAATAATGTGTTTAATGCAGCTTTGTGCACATTTGTTTACATTTTACAGAAGCAGAACTGAAAACCACATGGCTCATTTGCATAAACTAGAAGTGCTGAAAAAAATGCTCACTTGCTCTTACTCCGTGAAGCTCTTAACTATGATAGATGTAATGCTCCGTCAATCTATCAACCGGCGCGGCTTTGTATCTTACGAAAGGTGTACTAAAACATTTTGACAGATTTTTGAGCGCCATGTACCACGTAAAATTGGTCCGAGGTCAGTAAGCACAACCAGAATTAACTCATAAGGCACACCAGATTATAAAGTGCACTGTCAATTTTTGTGTGCTTTATAATCTCAAAAATATGGTACATTGTATTCACATTAAATTAGTGCTAGACTTTTTTAAGTAATCCAGCCTAAACATTATCTCATTCTATAGCAACACATATACTGGAGCCTATTACCTTATAGTACAGGGAATGATCTAGAACTTCGATGATTTCCTTAGCTGTTACAAATTTTAAGATGTAACATTTTATCACACATCAGCCTAACAAACATAACATAATATTCAGGGTCCTGTATTACACAAAATTGACTCTTGTGAGGTTTAAGCCATGTCATACTTCTGTTACATCTTTAAAAACATGTCTGGAGTTGTGTTTTGTTCCATTCACACATTTGAATAATCCTGCATTATTTGCCTGCTAAAATTTCCCAAATGATTGGAAGTATATGGCATTTAAAAACACAGTGGAGCACTTCCTGTATTACCACGACATCATAAGATTGAGCAGAGTGTTTTCTGTTTGAGAGAAGAACTCAGCCTAAATATGTCGGGTTTGTGTGTTAAACATGTGTGAATGAAACAAAACACAACATTTTAATACCAGTTTATGTAAAATTATACTTAGACCGCCAATGAACTACCATCTCTATATTTCATGCCATATCCTTCGTCAAAATCCCAAACAGCAGTGAAATCTCTGTGTTCCCATGACCCCTAAACGCACCCTCTTCCTCCTCAGCTCCTCTTTTCATCTCCTACCACCTTTCCTCTCCTCTGTCTCCTCTCTCCTTCCTCCCTTGGCGTCTGCTTCCATTTACACCTCACTTTCAAACAACTAAAGACAAGCTGACAAACTGGAACAGACCATAGACACAGAAAAAACACAGAGATCTCAGCGCGAGGCCATGTTTCCTGTCAGCACAAACTCTTTTATTTTCCCATCTCTACGTTCACTCAATTTAGCAAATAACTGTCACGCCGGTTGATTTATGGCCCGCTAGACTTCAATAGCGTCCTCAATCTCCACAAATCTGTATTGATTCGGAAGGGCGCGTAGTTACGATGGGCTTCTGTGCAAGTCAGCTCTATTCAAATTCAACTGTTTTGTTATAATTATAATCTAAAATGCATTGGACAACATAGTGGATTGTTTCATATCAAAGTTTAGAAATTAGTCAGAGTAAGATATTCCTGCATAGTAATTTGAGGTCAGGCTGCATTGTAGTAAACATGGACGGTATAAAGAAATGTACTAAGGGACTGTGGCGTCACCCATAGCGTTCAGCTCAATTGAAGCTCACAAGGGTAGCACGGGTCTAATTTGGGCGAAAAACTGAATGATGCTATGCTAAATGAAGAATTATTACTGTTTCTTCTCTATTGACTCCCAGTATGGTCACATTTTTATAGCGCTTTTCCACCTTCAAGGCACTCAAAGCGCTTTACAACAAGGAACCACTCACCCATTCACACACACATTCATACACTAGTGTACACAGACACTGGGAGCGAGGTGTCTTGCCCAAGGACACAGTGACAGCATTCACCTGTGCAGGGTTCCCACTCTTCTTTTTCACTGACAAAATTTCAAAACGTTTCTATGACTATGACCTAAAGTGAATTTTCCATGACTTTACAGCACCCTAAATATGAACTATCAACCCTTTCCACTCACCTTATGGTTTGGTATTATAGTTTTTTAACATTCAAAATACTGTCAGTGCATTTATTGTCATCTCTTTTAAACAAAAGGCGCATACGTTTGGAAATAATCATAATAGCCTAATGATAACTTAAAGAGAACGCTTCATAATTTAAGCCAACAAAAATATATAAATAAAAAGAAAGATCAATTCACATGTGTCTTTTGGGCAAAATTCTGCACAAATGTTTAGTTCCATTTTAACGTCTAAAGGTTGCAAAGCACTGGAGTTACTTCAAGGTGCATTGGTTCATCAAATGCTTTTCTCCATGGAGATGTTATTGCTTTGTTTGGAATGTTTCACAGTACGGCATTAAACCTTTCTATCTTCATGGAGACCAAAGCAACCCTGTTCACAGTCAGAATGTCTTTTTTTCTAGGTATTTTTGAGCTATAAAATTACCTGTAATTAAATAAATGTACGCTCGAGCTGTTTAATGTCATACTGTGGAACATTCCAGGCAGAGCAAAGACACATCCATAGAAACAAGCATGTACTCCCAATTCGGAAACTGCTTACATTACCTTTATTATAGCAATTATCATTCTATATCATTATATTATTCTTTGACCACCAGTTATTAAAGGTTCTATATATGGAAAATTGACTGTGATTGTAGTTGCGTGAAAGAGATATAAAAATTCCATGACTTTTCCAAAACTTTCATTGAATTTACAAAATGCCATGACTATTCCAGACCTTTTTAATTTCCATAACTTTTCCAGGATTTCCATGACCGTGGGAACCCTGTCTGTGGGAGATACTTTTGCCTTTGGTTGATTCTGCTCTATTGACTCTTTACTGATTGGGACACCATTTTGAGGACTCATTATGATTCCAAACTATATCTAAATGTCTCCTAAGTTTGAAATTCAAGGTGCAAAATGTGTGATTCTGCGTGAATTTGATCTGAAAATGTTTGAATACAAACTGCTTCATTGTGATTGTGAGATAATGGACCATTAGCCAGGCAACAATACAAATAGTAATATCTTGTCAGTTTCACATGTATTCAAAATATGTTTCTTCTGAATTTTCCAGAGCCCCTTCCAGCGCTGACGCCAGGAATCACCAGTAAGTTTTAATTCCTGTTTCTCCTTTCTACTTCCTGTCCCGAGTGTCTGCGCTTCCTGCTTGTGGCTCAGCTTAGCTTTCAGCAACTGTCAGTGCATAATGTCCGCACAGAGACAATGAAAACAAACTATTTCCATTTAGTCAGCACTTATTAAAATATGACACTGCTTGTGGAGGTTTACCGGGTTTAGCGTTTTGACTTTTGAGTCCAGTGCATTTTTAGCATGGCGAGCTGCTGCATGCTGGGCTGAGACACCTGGATTTGCATATTGGACTTAATGGAGTGAATTCAAAATAATGCATTCAGTTTTTTATAACACTTGTATATACCTCTAATTAGTATATATTAAATGCATTGATCATTCACTCCTCCTCAGTCACACTCAGATCTAACTGAGACATGGGGCAGTCTGACAGAAATGTGGCTGCCAATATGTGAGCTCCATGACAACCGATCGCACACCAAGTACATTTACACTTACACGCAAAATATGCTGGTGATATGTTTTGCCCATGGACACAACAGCAGTATGCAATGCAGGTGGGAGAGATTGACCTGATATTTTTTTTGTTATTGGGCAACCATCTTGACTTACTCAGCTATATAGAGCATGGTATTCTGGTAACTTGAGATTTGTTGAAATCTGTTGAATTTGTTGTTGTTTTTTATGATTTATTATTAGTATTTTTTTATCAAATCATCAAAATGTAAAAAAAAAACAACAAAAAAAAACACCAGTATTGTGTTTTGAATGATTCTCTGGAAGATATGGGAAATTTTATTATATTTTTTGTGAATCATTATCAGCTCTATTCACGCTTACGTCACGAACCACGAAGGCGTTTGGAAAAATGCGGTTATAACTTCCCAGGCCTTCCCGGGTTTTCTTCATCTCCATGTCACTGTAGCATTGCGTTACGTTCGGCTAATCAACAATTCCAACCATATCTCAGTTTTCATCATTTCCCCACTGACGCACAACTCCGAGCGCACTGGGTACATGTGATTAGAAAAGATGAGGGTGCCAAATTCAAGATGATTCTGAACAGCAAATACGTATGCAGTCTTCATTTTACCTCTTATGACTTTTACTTCAATGGGTTTTATCACAGTCGGTTTTAATAGATCCATGTTAGGCGAGCCCAGAGTCCGCAACTACACCGGAAGTTGTAATTGTATCTTTCCAAACATCTTCCGGGTTTGTGACATAACGTGAGCCTGATAAAGTGGGCAGTATCTGGAGGACTAAAGAGGGAGGAGATAGAAGGGGCAGGGCCTAGACCTATGACGAACAATGTGATTGGTCAAACATATATCTACATTTGAAACTCCACCGCTGCAGCCAAGTTTGTGATCAGAAACAACTGGCTGTAATGAGGGCAGTCCTGCGTGATGTCACGTAGTACTTGAAATCCCTGTGGCCACTTGAGGCAGTACACACAAAGTTTTATGGTTTTGTTTTTTTACTCAAAACTGCAAATATACCTAGTTTGCACTAAAATTACCCAATACTACGAACTAAGTCTGTGCAATTAATTGAATTTTGATCGCAATTTTGATTTGTGTGTCAAAAGATCTCCAAACTCATATAATCGAGTTGAAATGATAAAACTTAACAAAGTTTATTTTGGGATATATTTTTTAAAAATAAATAAGTATATTTAGTCAATTTTTTAAATATAGAGATTGTACCACAGCTGGATATATAGTTTATTTTGGATACATTTATGTTTTTCTATGCCTTATTTCATGTTCAAAGTTTATTTTATTCATTTTATGTTTTATACGCTGCAAAACTGCTATAAGGTGCATATTTGTAGCCTATATTTGTTTTCAGTTTGAAAGTTTTGCGTAAATTATCAATAACAAAGTGTTTTTTGAGAAAGAGAAATGCTGGATAAAAGCATCGTGGAACTTAAAAATAATCATTTATTATCATGATTTCAGTATTGACCAAAATAATCGTGATAATGATGATTCCATAATCGAGCAGCCCTACTAGAAACAACGTACACAATGTTATTAAACCCCACATAATTTAAGCACATTTTCTAAGTGCTAGACATAATAGCAATATAAAACAACTATTATTGCACTACATTTCTTCGAAGAGGATTTTCAAAATATTTATGTTTACATTTTTTTCCAGAATTAATTTATCTTTACCTTGCAGTACCTTGTTTAGCTGATTTCAAATGTTCTTTGGCAGCATTTTAGGTAATAGTTTTTGGTTAATCCTGTTACGCTTTGTTAACATATTCTACACAGTTTTTAAACCATTGCTACTGCTAATGCGACAAAATGTGTGTGTTTTGAATAGACTGCACATTACAGCTGACAAATAGTGATTGTTTGGGCTCACCTGTCTATAACAAGCCCTCCTCCTGTTCTCGCTCCTGTTTTCATGACTGTAAGAATAGCACAAAGTTCAAACACTCTTCAAGTTAAGATCAAAAACATTCTCCGAACAGTGTCAGAAACGTGAGAGCGACTTAACTGCGATTTAAAACAAAGATATTTCTTAAAATAGTCAGAACCAGGTGGCACTTGGCACTTTGTTTGACCTGGCTTTCTGAAGTTTGAAACGATGGCATTTTATTACTGCTGAGTTGTACTTTCTGGTCTGTGAAATTCTGGTTGGATATTCAAGCGTCTTCATTGAAATCACAAAAACTCTGATCAGTACGGTAGATCACATTAAAATGGCACTCATTGTGATAAACTAGTAGTAACTATTCATTGTTAAAAATGATTAAAACATGAACTTTAAGGATTTCTGTAGTTCTTTGGTTGAGACTGGGTGAGCACCATTGTCATAGCAACTGAAAAATAATCTTTCTAATTGTGAAAAGTACTCAAAATGGCACCTATAAACATGTTCATTAACTCGATAGGTTTTTGTTGTTTGTTTGTTTTTCCAGTGTGAAGTATTGACCATTTCTTGAATTTTATAGTTCATCTGGATACTGTAAGCATGTCAAAATGCTGGAGTTTGTTTCTATGGTAATAACAGAGGTATCTGATTGGCTGGCGATGGCCCTAGAAATGGAATAATCATCTTCTGTAGAATTGTGATTTTAAGATGTTTTTGCAGTTCACATTTTAGGTCTTGGTTTAATCATTAAAGCTATTTTTGATGTTGAATGTAATTAATATACATTGCGTGGTATCAGTAATGTTCTGAAGGTCTATTCTTATGTCTGGTCTTTTGTACATTATTTTGATATCTAGATTTCTGAATATTTTTGGATTTTTTTAGGATCCTATGTATACTTTAAGCCATGTTTAAAAAGTTGCCTCATCAAAAACATACTGTATTTTTCGAACTATAAGGCACACTTAAAATCCTTTAATCTTCTTATAATCCGGTGTGCCTTATGTATTAATTCTGGTTGTGCTCACTGACCGATTTTCTGTTGTACACAGCGCTCAAAAATAAAAAAAATGTTTTAATATGACTTTGGTAAGCTACGAAGCCGCACCGCTTGATGGATTGTTCGTGCATTACGGCTACCTTAGTCAGGAGCCTCGCGGAGTAAAGGGCAAAGTATAGTTCAAGGCTGTTTTACCGCACACTGCCGCCGTCGCCTTGTTGCAGAAAGCGTCGTGTCCTTTAGTCCAACAGAAGCTGATCACATTAGTGCACAAGAAGCGAGCTGTTTTTTCAGCGCTTATAGTTTATGCAAATTAGCCATGTGGTTTTAAGTTTAATTCTGTAAAACATAAACAAATGTGCGCAAAGCTGCATTAAACACATTATTACTTAGTGTATATTTGAGTCCTCCTCATAGGAAATAAAAAACAAACTTAAATTATCCACCCACTTTCACATTCATAATACACATTCACCAACACAGGGAGGCAACGTCGGGCGAATTATCGATCTGCCAATGGATTGTGGATGTAAGGGCTAAGGTATGAGTCTGAAGTGTCGTCCGTTCATTTTGCTTAATGCGCCTAATAATGTCTTATGTATGAAAATAGACAAGAGAATTCAACATTATTGATATTGTGTGTTATAATCCGGTGCACCTTATAGTCCGAAAAATACTGTATTCTGAATTGTGTTTTGTTTCATTTACACATGAGTAATCCTGCATTATTATCAAAATTCAGCCTAAATATGTAGAGTTTGTGTGTTAAACATGTGTGAATGAAACAAAACACAACTCAACATGTTTTTGATGAGGAAACAACATTTTAACATAGATCAGAAAATGCTATATGTAAAGTGGTTATTCTTTCCCTTCATCGCAGTAAAGACAACCATTTAATTTGAAAAGCAATAACGTTTTCCTATGTCTACGGTAAATATATACTTTAGCTCGCCGTTTAAACAAAGTGTGGACAAAAATGTAAGGTTGATCATTATAACCTTAGGAGAGTGAAGTGTTGGCCAGTGTTTTTGAGTGTTTTTGCCTCTTTCAAACCCACAGAGTCTAATCCACTCCAGGGAGACTGCTGTTGCGTGCAGCTCCACAATCAAAGCCTATTTTAAACCCTTAAAGACGCCATCTAAACTTAAATTAAGCTACCCCTGGTTTCCTTGAGGTCCCATATCTTTTCCTTAACACCTCTCTTTCTCTCTTTCATTCTCTCTCGCTCTCTTTCTCTCCCACTTTTTGTTCTCTCTCTAATCCCCTCTCTATGTTTCTCTCCCTCTCTTCTCTTCTTCCATCTCTCCCCCTTCTCCTGTCTGCTTGCCTTTTCTCTCCGCATCCCTTAACCTTTCTTTCTCGACTGTCTCCGTCTCCTCTTCCCCTGTTTCTTTGTTCTTTTTCTCTCTTCCTTTCTTATGTTTCTCTTTCAACCCGGCTCTTCCCCTTTCGCTATCTCTTCCCTTCCTCGCTCTCTCTATCTCCCTCCTCTCTGACTCTTTTTCGCTCTCCCTCCATGTCCTTCACCTCTGTCTCTCACTTTCTCTGTCTTTCCCTCTTCCCCCTCTCTGTCTTCTTTCTCCGCTCTCCCCCCTTTTCTCTTCCTCTTCTTTACACTCTTA